TGAGTAGTGAGGAGTGGGAAAGAAGTGCGTGTTCCAGCTGAAGAAGAGCTCTCCGCTCGCGCCTGGTGGGTGGCGGAGGGGGCGGTGAGCGGGGAAAGAGGGGACATAGAGCCTGTATTGAGGAATGGGAAGGCGGAAAGAGGACTGGGGAAACGCGTAAAGAGGGCAGAGAGGGGGGGCAGCTGGGAAGTCTCGTTTTGAGGCGACTCAAAACGTGGGCGGGGAAAGAGGGGTCATAGAGCCTGTATTGAGGGATGGGAAGGCGGGGAGATGGGGAAACGCGTGTAGAGGGCAGAGAGAGAGGGAGCGCAGCTGGGAAGTTAGAGAGAGCAGAAAACGCAGAGAGGAGGGGAGAGAGCAGCGAGGAGCATGCCGCCCCCTGTCACGAACTTTTGAGTCGACTCAACAAGAGGAGCATGCCGCCCCCTGTCACGAACTGGAAAACGAGCAGAGAGAAGAGAGAGCTGTGACATTTGTACTCCACACAAGCAGCTACTTGGCTTTCACCACCCCACTCACAGCCTGCCTGCCTGAAATTCTCACTCACCACTGGTGGTAAACCACCCACCTTTTGAGACGTCTCAAAAGCCACCCCACTCACAGCCTACCTGCCTGACATTCTTACTCACCACTGGTGGTAAACCACCCACCCCTGGCGCCTCACTCACTGACCGAAGCGCGCGGTGCAAGCAGCCCCCAGTCATGAACTCGCACACGAGCAGAGAAAGGAAAGAGTTGAGGCATTCCTACTCTAGCTACCTGCCTCTCACCACCGCACTCACCGCCTGCCTAACGATCACTGTCCGAATGCGCGCGGTGCAGGCAGCCTCCAGTCATGAACTCGCACACGAGCAGAGACGCGATACCCTGCACGAGCAGCACCTTCCGCTAGAGCCTGCCAGCACCTCACTACGGTCTGCCAGCACCTCACTACGGTCTGCCAGCATCCCCACACTCACTGTCTGATAGCGCGCGGTGCAGGCACCCTCCGGTCATGAACTCGTACACGAGCAGAGCTTCGTCGCGCTCCATGCAATAGCCGTGCAGACGCACGAGGTGCGGGTGCGACAGCCGCCCCAGCACGATCACCTCTTTCTGCACAAGAAGGAATGGCGGGTGGAGTTGGGAGGAGGGGTGGATTGAGGTAGGCCCTCCATGCAGTAGCCGTGCAGACGCACGAGGTGCGGTGGGACAGCCGGCCCAGCACGATCACCTCTTTCTGCAGTGATTCGGCAGGGAACAAAGGAGGATCAGGGGGGCAGGGTGTGTTTATAAACGCTCCATGCAGTAGCTGTGTAGACGCACGAGGTGCGGTGGAACAGCCGGCCCAGCACGATCACCTCTTTCTGCAAGGGGTTGGGAGGGAGTGGTGGGTTGGTGGATTAGGGATCTGAGGGCTCCATGCAGTAGCCATGCAGACGCACGAGACGCGGGTGCGACAACCGCCCCAGGACGATCACTTCTTTCTGCACGAGAGGGAATGGGTTGGAATGGAGTTGGGAAGGGGGTTGGGTTAGGGTAGGTATTCCATGCAGTAACCATGCAGACGCACGAGACGCGGGTGCGACAGCCGTCCCAGCACGATCACTTCTTTCTGCAAGGGGTTGGGAGGGGGACATACGAGCAACAGGATGGCCGGGGTGTGTGTGAGTGGAAGTCCCATGCAGTAGCCGTGAATACGCACGAGATGGAGGTGGGATAACCAGCCCTGTAACGCCTGTGGGGCTTACACGTAAGGTTTGAGGGCCTCCGCTGCGCCTCAAATATAACCCTCGTTTTGACCCAGTGGGTAGCGAGGTGTTACAAGCCCAGTCATGAACTCGCACACTCGCACAATTGCACCCACCCTCGCTCGCACGCACGCACCAGAAACTCTTCCGACTTTTGAGACGTCTAAAAAGTCGCACCCTCGCTCGCACGCACGCACCAGAAACTCTTCCGTGTACCGATCGCTCGCACGCACCAAAAACTCTTCCGTGTACCGATCGCTCGCACGCACCAGAAACTCTTCCGTGTACCGATCGCTCGCACGCACCAAAAACTCTTCCGTGTACCGATCGCTCGCACGCACCAGAAACTCTTCCGTGTACCGATCGCTCGCACGCACCAAAAACTCTTCCGTGTACCGATCGCTCGCACGCACCAGAAACTCTTCCGTGTACCGATCGCTTGCCTCCCGCATCCTCTTAATCGCCACTTCCGCCGGCTCCGGACCAAGCCCGTTCGGCCCGGGTTGAAGCACCCCCCGGTACACGATCCCGAACCCGCCTTCGCCGATGCAGTTTCGCCGATGGAACTTGCTCGTCGCAGACTCGAGAGCGGCGAACGAAAATTGTCGCAGGGAGCTCGGGACGAGGTTTGCAGGGTTGGGAATTGCGATCGCACTGTCGCTGGCACTTAGGTTCGTACTTGAGTCGTCGGCCGACAAAAATTTGTCGGAGATTTGAGAGGTACCGGGGGTTTGGAAAGATGATTTATTCTGGCTGCTGGATTCCGACTTGCTTGCGCCGCTATCAATTATTGTTGTGCTTGATTCACCGTGGTCTGATGGAAAAGGGACGGGGGAAAGGAAAAAAAACGAAATTATTGCAGGAGAACGGGATGGGGAGACGTTAGGGTTACCATTGCATTCGAGTCCGCGACGCCCATCCGTCTCAAAAAAATATATCCAAGGCTTATGCTGCCTTAGACTCAATATTAACTAAGTACGCGGGTCACACATTGGATTATCTGAGAGTGAAGGAAGTGTCTGAAATTGTAATTTTATGTATTCTCAATCTGGTTCGGACAGAACCTGAGCTTCCGATTAAACACGCTTGCTTCGGATAGATACTAATATAACCCAGCCGATCCAAGACAATTTTTGACACGTCTTTTCTTATTTTAGAGACGTTTTCTTTATATTTATTTTTTAGACGTCTCAAAAATTGTCTGCTTGGCATAGATCCTATTCTAAACCAGACGATCCTAGACAACAATCGATGTCTTAAACATTCTGCGAAGTTGTTATTCAGAGCGGCATAGGGGACCAGCGTACGTACCTATTTTCGACACGAGACAACCCATTTCTCTTCACGTACGATAACTTGACGCGGCGGCTGCGCTGCTGCTATTGTACCATTGGCCAGCATTCGGCTTTCAAACTTTGAAGAAAAGAAAAAAACGACAGTTAAGGTCGCCTACATTCCCATTCCGTGACAGCTGCTGCTACTCCATGCGTAGGACCTCAGGATATTATGTCCACTCGCTAAGCAGTAAGGCTTACTGAAGGGGGGGGGCTAGCACTACGATTACGAGGCGCTGCGAACACGTCTGTAAGTTAAATGATATGGACGAGTATCATCCAAACCACAGTCACTCCGTACAATCCCTGCAAAAAAGCGAAAAGAACGCTTGCCGTCCTGAAAGCGCTTCGCTGCAGTGAATAAGGAGTCAGTCACGTTCTATGCAGGAAAAATCTGTCTGCTGTCTTACCAGAAACTAACCTAAGGAATAGTTCTAGGCACCTAGGAAATGGTTTCAGGTGCTTCCGTATGTCTATCAAATTCTCGAAGCTTTGTGTTCTAGATTGGTTACATTTCGCAACACTCTCGTCTGTACCTCGCGAATCCTCCTGACCACAAAAAATTCACCGTTAGCCCAACTTTGCCCTCAACAACGCAAGAATCCTTGCCCCAAGAACAGTCCAGCCGAAAACAGAAATGTTGACAGGCAATGACGGGCGGATGCTACGTGTACACTTCCCAGGATATTGTCGGGCCGGGCCGGAACAAGGACATCCTTCGATTCGAACCACACCTGGGCACGACGCCGAACCGAACCTTATACGGTTGCACTACACTACACGACACGTACACCAAACCTAACACATGGGCCCCGGGTCGCGTTCTTGTCGTTTTTCCCTGGGCTGAGTTGAGATTGGAGGGGAGGGAATGAAAAAGTTTCCTCCAATTTCAACATTAAGACGGAAGATATATTGGTTTGTAATTGTTCTGAACTGTGTCAAAGCGGTTCTACTCGGTTTTGTTTATTCGAATGATGCTGCTTGGACCGAACCGCGCTCGCTCCAAGACCACAGGTGGCGACAAACGTGTTGAAGTTGGTGCGGGTTGGGTGTACAGTGCCTTCACAGTACACTGTTCTGGCTGGTAGCAGCCATGGAGAGAACGGTGTGCTTTGGTGCGTTGAGTGCCATCATGGTGGTGGGGTGGCACCGCAAAACGGTTACTTTCACTGTCCACCACACCGCACCACACCAGACACGCACACGCGAATCACCTCGCTCGTGCTTGCGTCGCAGAGACTTGCGGAAGCCTGCTGCAGATCGTTCGTGCGACGCCAAACGCGGCGCTGGTTAGGAGGTGGGACAGCTTTTACATCCTGTTCTCGATTATTTCACACCCCTTAATCTCACACCTTGGGGTATTTACCCTAGATCAATCGTTTTCGTAGGTTAGTTACCAGCGTTTAGGAAAACCGCGGAGGAGGGTCCGACGTACTTTCGGGTTTGGTCGGGGCACACGAAGAATCTAAAAGAGAACCCAAACCGAACTAAACACTCCACCCCGATCTTAAGAGTGAGTTTCGTTCCAGAGCCTATCTGCCCGCTGTATCTTTATAGTCCCTCAATCTCTGGGTGTCCGTCGCATCAAGTCAAAGCTCGAAAGGGTACCTACGAAAAAAAAGGGTAGGGGGTGTGCAATTATCGAGAATTATCATTCCAGTCTAATTTCTTTTACAACTGGAGTTGTAAAAGAAAATACAGTGCCCGCCCGACCATAGCTGTAGAAAGCTAGCCATCTCACGCCAAAGCTCATGTTACAGCACAGCAAACAGTGACTCCACTACAACTTACCCTGCGCAGCTGTAGCGATGCATGCTAAGGGAGTGCGAGATGTATTTTTATGTAGGCTCTCAATCTAAACTGTAAGAACAAGTAAAAAACTTTTGCTAATAGTGCAGTTTCTAGCTAGAGATTGAATTTTTCAATACACAATTTGTTAGCAAGCAACAAGCATCAACGGGCTGGCATTTGAAATGTGGTTTGCCCAGAAGTTGGCCACAGGAAGCAAGTACCGATGGCCATACCATTCCACTGCTGCCACCGCTGCATACGGCAAGGAAGAAAAAGAAGAAGAAAGAACCCAACAACGAATCAAAACATGAGAGGAACAATGATCAACAATGCTCGTCATCGATAAGCCAACACACATCGACATCGTTGATTCAAAACAACACTGCTTTGGAAACGCAAAAAAAAAAAAAAAAACAAAACAAAACAAAACAAAACGTCAATTGAGATGTAAAAGAGTACATGTGAGGGCAAAGATGGGAAGTTTAGTGAGAGCAGATAGCAGTCCTAGTGGCATTTGAGTCGACACGGGAGATGTGCAACAGAGGCGTTCCCCAAAGTGACATTCCAGAGAGATGGGACAGAGATGGGAGAGGGAGGCTTACATGTGAAGGCAAAGATGGGCAGCCGAGTGAGAGCACACAGCAGAGTTTCTGAAGTGACTTATCAGTTCACAAAAGAGAAGGGAGAGAGAGGCTTACAAGTGAAGGCAAAGATGGGCAGCCGAGTGAGAGCACACAGCAGAGTCCCCGAGCCTCCCATGAGCCCCATGTGTCTCTGCCGCCCTTCCAGCGCCAGCTCAGCAGCCCGCTGCACCGCCGCCAGCTCAGCACCCTCCAGCACCTTCTCCACATCTGCCATGACAGCGGCAGCATGACACGTGGCAGGACCTCATTTGCCACTGCTTCCAGCCCTCCATTCTGCCATGCTGCCTGCCCCCTCAGCAACTGCGCCCACAGTATATCCCCCTCCCCATCCCCCCCCCCTTGCTCCTCCTCTCCCAAATCCCCCGCTGCCATGCTGCCAGGTTCACCCGAACCTGACTGTGGTCCTGCCGAGCCTGTGCCAAGCCTGACGGCGAGCCAGGGTCTGTGCAGCTGGGCACAAGCAGCAATTACTACAAGCACGCCGTAGGTCTGGGTGATGGCTGCGAAATAGTCACGCGCTGAAGGGCGGGAAGGGGGGCAAGAGGTGAGAGGGGAGGAGCGACGAGACATAAGATTATGGTGAGATGATACCAAGCACGCCGTAAGTCTGGGTGATGGCTCCGAAATAGGCGCGCACTGAGGGGAGAAACAGGAGATAAGGCAAGCAAAGGGCAAGTGGGGTTAGCAGACGTTGAAGCACAAAAGCATGGAAGAATGGAAGCTTGGGCAGAATAAGGGGTGAAGACAGAACAGGGACGAATGTGCAGCAATTAACATGTAGGGAAACATGCCCACTGCTGCCTTTAGCACATATGCGTCCCTATAATTTAGTCAACTGAAACACTGGAATGATGACCAAGAGCAGAGCCAAGAGCGTTTCAGCACCATCAGCAGCAGCCCCGAGCACATCTGCACATCTGCACATCTGTACAAAAGCGCACCTACCATTATGTATACTAACAATATTGGTGTTCTCTCTCTCCTTTTGGAGCATCGAGCAGAGCAGAGAGCGTTGCAGCACCATCAGCAGCAGCCTTTTCCTTCAAACCCACGGCTGCCGCCTCTAGCACATCTGCAAACCTATATTCGAGCCGACTAAAAAGCAATTGAATGGAGTTCTCACCCTTGGGATTGTCGAGCAGAGCAGAGAGCGTTGCAGCGCTGTCAGCTGCAGCTTTCTCCTTTACGCCCACTGCTGCCTCCAGCACATCTGCACACCGCGCCGCTACAGCCCCCCACAACCGGACAAACGACGCCGCCTCCGCTGCAGAAACTGCCGAGAGAATGTTGTACCAGAAGACAGCCCTTCGGTGTACCAGCAGCGCTGCTGTGAGATCGCGGGCGGCCTGAGGGGATGTGGATGACAAGTGGGGGATTGTGCTTACTGACTGGACGAAACTCGAGCAAGGGGAGTGGTTTGGGGGGGGGGGGAGAGTGGGGGGTCGACAGATGGAGAGATGGAGCTTGGCACCATAAGATGGAAGTCCTGAGGTTGCTGCTTTCACCTCAGATGAAGCATGGCACTCAACTCCTGAGGTGAAAGCTGCAACCCCAGCCCGCCTCTGCTGCGCCCCAGCAGCTATCCCATCTTCCCCCACCGACCGCTTCTCACACCGCACGTGCCCCACCCCACGCCACCCAGCCCGCTGCAAACTGCCAGCACCCCCACGCAGAACCTACTGGCTCCAATCAGCTCCCCCATCTCGCGCACCGACCGCTCGTCCCACCGCCAGTACCCCACCCACTACCCTGCTCACTGCCAGAACTTCCAGCGCAGTCCCACCGTCAGTACCCCACGCAATCCCCTGCAAATCTGCCAGCACTCACCATGTTGCAGATCTCATCCTGCTTGAATTCCCCATCAAACGCAGCAGCCCTGGCGTCCCCCTTGCTACGTCCCAGCAGCTCCCCCATCTCGCTCACCGACCGCTCGTCCCACCGCAGAGAGGCCAAGTCCCTCCCCGGCTTGATCTCAGCCGCTGCTCCGGCTGTAGCAGGTGCTGTCTCGGCTGTAGCGGGAGCTCCTGCAGCTGTAGCAGACAGGGTGAACAGAGTCAACAAAGTCAACAGATTAGGCGCAGCTCCCCCATCTCCCCCACCGACTGCTCGTCCCACCGCAGAGAGGCCAGGTCCCTCCCCAGCTTGCTCTCAGCTGTAGCATGTGCTACTCCTGCAGCGGTAGCAGACAGGGTGAGCAGAACAGAGTCAGCAGAGTCAGATTCAGCGAAGTCAACGGTTCAGATGAGTACAAATTAAGTGGAGTCAACACACTCAACAGAGTCAACAAACTCAACAGAGTCAACAGAGTCAACAAACTCAACAGAGTCAACAAAGCAAGGATCGCGAACAGGTATCTCTTAGACTCACCTTCCTGTGACCTCGACCCGCCATCCCTGTCTCTGTCACACCGCCCTCAGTCCCTTCAGATTCGGTGCCAATCCCAGCCATGCCACCTTCAGTGGCCGCCTCGCCACCATCTGTGTTTCCCTTGCCACCCTCCGTGGTTGTTGGTGTTGCCTCACCTTCCTGAGAGCTCGACCTGCTGTCCTCTGACACTGTCACAGCGACCTCAGCCCCTTGAGACTCAAAACCCATCCCAGCCATGCCACCCTCCGTGGTGGTTGTTGTTGCCTCACCTTCCTGAGAGCTCGACCTGCTGTCCCCTGTCTGTGTCACAGCGCCCTCCGTCCCTTGAGACTCGGAACCCATCCCGGCCACACCACCTTCAGTGGCCGCCTCGCCACCGTCTGAGCTGCCCTTGCCACCCTCTGTGGTGGTGCTTTCCTCGCTGCCTTCAGGGGCTGTTTTGTCACCACCGTCTTATCCGCGTGCTGGCGATTGAAGAAATGTTTTGAGACGTCTCAAAACACTTGTTCAATCACGTGGCTTAGGGTTTAGTGGTTGTTCTCCAAGATCGTACCTTCAGGGGCTGTTTTGTCACCACCGACTTGATCCGCGTGCTGGCTTGGTGACACTGAATTGACTTTTGAGTCGACTCAAAAGTAAAAAACTTAACCTAAGCAGCTGTTGGCTAAGAACAGCTGCTGCCACGCTAGCCATGGCTCCTACCTGGGGCTCCATTGTCACCACCGACTTGATCTGCGTGCTGGCTTGGTGACACTGAAGGCGCCACTGCTTTCCTCCTCTCCCTCCACCCTTCCACTGCTGCAGGGCTGCCCAACACAGTCTCCATTCGCTGCACGAGGAAGCACAGAGGACGCACAGAGGAAGCACAGAGGAAGAAAGGAAGAGGATAAAGAAAGAGATGAAGTCCGGCCACGACTGGTGGGGCTGAGTGGGATGCTTTTCTCCTCTCTCCCCACCCTTCCACAGCTGCCGGGCTGCCTAACACAGTCTCCATTCGCTGCAAGCACAGAGGAAGCACACGAGAGCGATGAAGAGACAGAGTTTCCCAGCACCCTGTTCATCATGACTCGAGCATCTTCGTCTCGGGAGATGATCGAGACAGAGTCGACCCACAAGTCAACTCCAAGAGAGAGCGAGAGCGAGCACGGACCTTTATGTCTTCCCTCACTGCTGCTGCTGCCTCCACTCGCCCATCCCCCAGAGCCATGGAGTACTGTCCCTGGCAGTCAGGCAGCAGCTGCACTGCTGCAGCAAGTGAGTGGGCACAGGAGAGAGCAGTAAAAGAGAGCTCACCTTGATATCCTCCCTCACAGCAGCTGCTGCCTCCACCCGGCCATCCCCCAGAGCCATGGAGTACTGTCCCTGGCAGTCAGGCAGCAGCTGCACCGCTGCAGCATGCAGCCGGCATGCATACGCCTCCTCCATCCGTCCCTCCCTCACCAGCTCCCCACTCAGCCGCCCAAACTCGTTCCGAGCAACGCTCTCCGCCCCCTCCGCCAGCTCCTGTAGTGTCTCCTCCCATCTCTTTTGAGAAGCTTCGTTGGGCAGGCGGATCACTGTGGGCTGAAGGACGGACTCTAGGGCGGCGGTGATGCTGGCTGTGAATACGCCCTCCCCCAGTTGAGACCCCACTATGGGGAGAACGTGGTCTGCTGCCAGGCCCTGTAAGCCGCCCCCTGGGAGCCCGCTGCTGCGGTAGGAAGCACCTGAAGCACCTGAGGGACCACCTGAAGCACCTGACGGCCCTCCTGAGGCACCTGAAGCACCTGCTGCCATACCATCGCTGCCACCACCAGCGCCACCACCACCGCCGTCCACTGCAGCACAGGACAAACCCGCGCCGCCCGCCGGCCCGTCACCTTGCTCCTCCCACCCCTCCCCACTCTCCCCTGACAGCGACCCCCCCACCCCTCCCCGTCCCCCCCCTCTCTGCCCCACCTGGTCACTCATCGAACCCCTTAGAGGCACATCGGTAGGGGGGGTTCCTGGGGAGAGCAGGCCGAACAAACCACCATACCCAGCAGCAGACGCCATTGCCAGAGGCACTCGCCCGGTTGAAAACGTCTGACCCAGCCTCCCTCCTGCTCCTGCTCCCCCTGCTGCTCCTCCCCCTGCTCCTGCTGCTCCTCCTGCTCCTGCTGCTCCTGTGCCTGCTGCAGTGCCTGCAGACGAGCTTCCATAGAGAGACGACAGTAGATCCATTAAATTCCCGGACTTCCCGCCACCAGCAGCACCAGCGGAAGCACCCGCAGCAGCGCCAGCAGCAGTGGTGGATACGTCCTTGGCTGTTTCTGCTACTCCCACGCCTGTGCCTGTGCCTGTAGTTTGGTCTGACAGCTTGCTGCTGCCAGTGGAAGGGAACGGCCCGAGCGACAGCTCAGCGTTCTCCAGCTCAGCAACTGCCACGTCATCCCCGAAGAGAGAGAGGGGAATCGGACCACCAGCAACACCAACAGCGGCAGCAGAAGCAACCCCATCAGAACCAGCGGCAGCAGCAGCAGCAGCAGCAGCAGCAGTGGCGGCAGCAGCATGGGATTCAGACATTGCCGCTGCCAGAGCTGCTGTTTCTGCTGCTGCCGCCACTGAATTACTCGGCACCAACACCGGATTTCCCGCCCCCGACTCATCCAGGCGAATCGAAGGATCAGGGGTAACCGCAGTGCTGCTGAGGTCTACCCCCACAAATTCCGGGGAAGCGGAGACTGTACCCATAGCGGTGGGTAAACCAGCAGCAGAATCCCCTCTCCCACTGCCCGCCGCACTCCCACTCACAGCAGCACTCCCTGCGAAATCTCCAAAATCGTCGTCGTCATCATCAAACGAGATCTCCTTGCTTGGAGCTGCTGCCGGGGCAGCAGCAGCAGGAGCAAAAGCAGGAGGAGGAGCGGCAGGAGCGGCAGCAGCAGGAGCGCCAGGAAAGGCGCCAAAGCCCGGAGCAGGAAAGTGGGGTTGAGAGTCAAGGGAGGAAGGGAAGGAGGAGGCAGCTGCAGGCATGCCTAGACCAGATGCTGCAGCGGGTGCAGGCGCAGCAACTGCAGGGGCGAAGGCAGCAGAGGGGACCGCCGGGGAGGAGGAGAAATCACCAAAGTCGTCATCAGGATCGAATGCCAGGGCTGCTGGCACTGGCGAAGAAAAGGACGCAAGTACTGATGCGGGTGCAGGTGCAGGTGTGGGTGTTGTGGGAGGTGCGGATGTGGGTGCTGCAGCAGCGGCAGAGCCAAAGGCCGTGGGCAGCTCAGTTCCAAAGGAGTTAAGCCCTCCAGCTGCTTGAGTTTCTGATGCCTGTGCTGCCTTGGGTGCGTCTGATGCCCCGCTAGAGACAAAGTCAGCAAAGTCATCATCCTCTTGCTCCTGCTGCTGCTGCTGCTGCTGCCCCACTGATCCATCCCCGCCTGCCGCAGCTGCTGCTGCCACTGGCGCTGCTGCAGCTGTTTCCGCTGCTCCTGCTGCTGCTGGGGCCGGTGCTGTGGTTTGAAAGGCGGCCAGAGAGATAGGACCAAGGAAGGACGAGGTAGAAGGGGCAGGAGCAGGGTGGGACAGAGCAGCAGCAGATAGACCCGGAGCAGGTGCAGTGGAAGCGAGAGTATTGTTTGCATCCGCTTGGGGAAGAATCGCCTGGGCCGAAGGAGCAGCAGGAGCAGCAGGGGCAGCAGGGGCAACAGGAGCCGGAGCGAAAGAATCTGAGAAATCCCCCCACTCGTCGTCCTCCTCTCCTGACCCTGCTCCTGCACCTGCAGCTGATACAGCGGCAGGCACCGCTGCTGCTGAAGGCACTGGAGCAGCGGTAGCGGCAGAACCAGCGTCAGCAGGAGCAGAACCAGCAGCGATAGGAGCAACAAAGGAAGCAGCAGGTTCGGCGGAAGCAGCAGAGTCGGTAGAGGCAGTGGGGGCTGCAGTCGAAGATGGAACGGATGAGAAGTCACCAAAGTCATCATCGTCATCAGCTTCGAGGGACGATGCTGCTGCTGTTGCTCCTGGCGCCGCTGCTACCGCCGCTGCGGCTGCTGCTGATTCTGCTGATGCTGGAGCAGATACACCATAAGCAGCAGACGCAGCAGGCGGCGCTGCTTCTCCCTCTTGCTTGCTCTCCTCCTCCTTCACCTCCTCCTCCTCCGGTTCCTCCTCCTCTCCAAAGAGCGACAGTGGGATGGGAGCAGCAAGGTTACGCGGCTGAGGAACCACCACAGCAGGCGCAGCAGCAGGCTTCGTGGCAGCTGGCGCTTCAGGTGCTGCTGCTGCAGCCGCCGTCGCTGCTCCTGCTCCTGCTGCTGCGGCTGCTTCCTTCGCTCCACCGCCCGTTCCTCCTGGACCTTCGCCTGGGACTGATCCCAGTACTGCGCCTGCCGTTACACCTGAAGCTGCAACAGGGCCTGCACCTGGAATTACACCTGGAGCAGCACCTGAAGGTCCTCCGGGGATTGAGCCAGGAGCAGCACCAGGCACGGCACCTGGAACAGCACCTGGAGGCCACCAGGGCATTCCCCCAGGATAGTAAGCATACTGGGGGTATTGCGGCATCCCTGCTGGCATTCCTGGGGGTATTCCTGAAGGAAACCCCGGTCGCATGCCTGGTGCTACTCCAGGTGCTGCTGGATGGGTACCTGTGGGAGCAATGGCTGCTGGTGCAGATGCTACTGGTGCGTGTGCCGCGGGTGCTGAGGCGCCAGGGGAGAGAGGTTGGCCTCCTTCCGGCTGCTGCTGCTGCTGCTGTTGCTGTGGCACGGTCTCCCCCGTCGCTCCCTGTCCCGTTTCCCCCTGTCCCTTAAAGCCCTTCACGTGCATCTTCTGCGCGGCAGCCTCCCCCGCTTTCGCCAGCAGAGCACGATCCGTGCTGCCCAGCAGACTCGCAAACGCGTCAATGCCTCCACCTGCCGCTGCCGAACCTGCTCCTGCCGAGCCTGCTGCTGCCAAACCGCCCTCCGAACCACCATCTGCTGCGGCTGATCCGCCGGGTTTCTGGCCGGCACCAGCAGCAGCGGCGGCGGCGGCGGCTTGCGCGGCGGCGAATTGGGGATGCATGTGTTGCATGTTTTGCATGTAAGCGGCGTACATCTGAGGGTTGACCATGACCGGCCCCATGGGACCCATGGCGTACATCGGATACGATCCAGGCATCTGCAAAACATTAACAGAAACAAGTGCCAAGAATTAAGTTTGCACAAGTAATTTAAATGGGAGAATCAAGTCCCCATTGCGATCGCAATCTCGACCGCTTCAGGGAACGACTTTCGGCCGATTTTCAACAAAGGCTGACAGATTCGATGAAACAATATATAAATCAAGTTGCGAGATGAAAGGAAAAAAAAGATTGTTAATTGGAATAAGCTACTATGACAGGGCTACTATCAGGTCGCTACTAAATTACCAGATTAACTCGGAAATATTAAGTCTAAAACGCTAAAGGAGCCCCGCACCTGCTGAGGGTATCCCTGCGGCATTGCACCAGCGTTCGCCACGTGTCCTCCCTGCACGTGCATCATGTGCATTGCCTGCTGGTAACCCGCGACCTGCTGCGCGTGTGCTCCTGCCGGATGCTGCTGTGACGCAGCACTCGCAGCGGCAGCATTAGCCGCAGCAGTGGTAGGATCTGCTCCCTGCGATGCCTGACTGGCCATTGCAAGACAAGCTGCGAGCTAAGAGTTCCGCAGTGTGGACTAAAAGTGGCAGTTTTTTTCTTCTTTCTTCTATTTCTGGTGCAGCCAGAATCGACGGGAAGAAAGAATTGCAACTTGCTGGAACTCGCTTCAAGCACTAATAGCACCTGTGATAGCACTAGTAACTCTAGACGAAGAAAAGCAGATAGAATAACTATCTCAAATGCCTAGTTGACGCTGACAGATGCACTGAACAGGCACTCCCCTGCTAGAACAAATGCGAATCCCAAGGGCTGGTTTGGTTTGGAACCCAGCGAAAACGAGCCTCGGGCTCGGAAAAACGCACAACCAGCATGGCTCGGCTCGGCACTGCCATGCTGGCACGTCACAGCCACTGCAGACCAAAGCAGTCGTGTCACGTCCTCAAGAATTCCAATACCCTGGGAGCTCGGCTGGCTGAGGAGGATATGGGAAAAGAGTGTCGAGAGTGGGATTTGAACCCACGCCCTTTCGGACTGGAACCTTAATCCAGCGCCTTAGACCATCTCGGCCATCTCGACGTCATAACTGAAAATTAACATTATTTATTCATCATACACACTTTATGCGATTCCTTCTGTCACTTCTCTCTCGAGTTAGGTCTACATCCTTAGTCCGCTTCACCCTTAGCTTACCTCTCGTCTTTTTCAGGCACTTCGCTCGAATTAGGTCCGCCTCGTTCCTTCTCGCAGCTCGGTCTCACTTCCCCGTTTCTAGTAGGCTGCACCTCATCGCTCTTATTAGGCCTCGCCGTGGTTGCTTGCGTCGCTTGAACTAGCCATTTAGGCCATTTCGCCATTTAGGCCACCCCGTCCTGTGGGAATACGTCCGTCGCGTCCAGTCGGCAAGATGATGGCCCTGTGGGAATACGTCCTTAATTGGTTACGCAGGTGCGTTCCGCTCGCCGTCTTCCGCGCGTCCGAGCCTGGATCTAGTGTGCCAGCCCCGACGAACTCCTTTCGTTTAGACCGTTGCGAAATCCACGAAAAGAATCTTCCGGCTCACGCTGCTCCTTCAGCAAGAGACGGTCACTCGCTGATCATCATTCTCTCTCACTCCGTGATCATCACGGCTCAATGTGCTCTCCGTCTGCCCGCTTTTCCATCCCGTTTAGTCCCCATCGCATCGCCATGCTTCACCGGCCATCCCGTTTGCCGCCTATCCCGTGTGTGTGTCCAGTCTATTCTTCCAGCAGGAGATGGAGCTGTCGCTCATCGGCCTCCAAAACGCCGGCAAGACGTCGCTCGTTAACGTCATCGCTGTAAGTCCGTCCCAGGTCGGCTCGCCGTTGCAAGTCCGTCGCAGGTCGGCTCGCCGTTGTAAGTCCGTCGCAGGTTTGCTCGTCACTAGCAGATCGACTAGCCGGTAGCTATCAGCCTTCAGCCGTTAGCCGTTAGCAGGTCGCCGCGCTTCGACTCGTGGCGAGTATGCGGGTCCCACGGTTGCTATCCACACGGCAACATCTCCCTGCGGCTCACATGACCTGTTTTTGGCGCGATCTCGCTCTTCTCTTGCTGCTTATCTCGCCGTTTACTCCCGACCTTGTTCTTGGTCAGTGACCGTTCCCTGCTTTCTGCTGACCGTCCTCGAATCTTCGCTCTGTGCGTGTGTGCACGTGTGCGTGTGTGCATGTGTGCATGTGTGCATGTGTGCGTGTGTGCATGTGTTCCCTCCCCGTATGCTATGGGTGTCGCAATGCGTTCCGCCCGTTGCTTTTTCCCCCATCGCAGACTGGCGGTTTCAATGAAGACATGATTCCCACGGTATGGTATTACTTGGCATGCCACTCCGCATAACGCAGCCCGCACTGTACCACACCAAATCCTGTACCATCGCTGCCGCACCGCACCATGTGATGCTACGTCGCACCACACCACACTGCAGCCCACTCCACACCTCGCTGTATCGCTCTGCATAATAACCACTTCCTTCCTTCCCTAACCCGTCCCAGTACCAGTATGCATCATAAGTGTTCCGCTTAGCCACGTTCCACCCGTAGGATTTCCTCAGAAGCGTTTACTGATCTCTCCTTTCCATGGTATCTATCCATCCCCTTGTACCACTGGTGCCCTCCCTGGTTCTGCTCTTCCACAGGTGGGCTTTAACATGCGCAAGGTGACTAAAGGGAATGTGAGCATAAAGCTGTGGGATCTGGGCGGGCAACCAAGATTCCGGAGCATGTGGGAGAGATACTGCCGAGGCGTCTCCGCCATCGTGTAAACAGCAACACCCTGCTTTTCTTGTCATGCTTGCTCGTCAGGGTTAGGCTCTGCTCTTCATTCTGTGCTTGCATATTCTGAGTCGTCTCAAATATCGGAGCATGTGGGAGAGATACTGCCGAGGTGTCTCCGCCATCGTGTAAGCAGAACCCCGCCGCATCCCTTGTTCACGTGCTTGCATATCAGGGGCAATCCTTGTTTGCCTTCACCTCACGGCACGATTTCCCCCCTTCTTCCCCACCCCTCTTCCTCATCTCCCAACACTCCCCACTCTCTCTCAGCTATGTGGTGCATGCGTGGGACCACGGCAACATCCAGTGTGTGTTGTTTAGGCGCCTCAAGAATAAATTTTCCTTCACGACAACATCCCAGTGTCTTGCAGAGAGTTGCATGAGCTGCTCAGCAAGCCCTTTGCCCTGCCCCTGCACCATGTTCCGTGTCCCCTCCCCCTCCCAGCTATGTGGTGGATGCATCAGACCACGACAACATCCCAGTGTCACGCAGAGAGTTGCATGAGCTGCTCAGCAAGCCGTCTCTTGCTGGCATCCCGCTGCTGCTGCTGGGGAACAAGTGCGACAAGGCAGAAGCCGTTTCGCGAGATGCCCTTATTGAAGCCATGTAAGCTCTCTGTTCTTTCCCGCTTCCGTCTTTTTTTGTTCTTTGACAATTCTATATTGTAAGCTCCCTCGCTTCGGTGTTCTACTCAAACAGCCTCCTTGATAAATACCGTGAATATGTGTGGTGGTGATGCAGGGGATTGAACCAGGTGATGCAGGGGAGGGAGGTGTGCTGCTACAGCATCTCCTGCAAGCATGCGACTAACATCGATGTCGTTATTGACTGGCTTATCAAGCATGCCAAAAACAAATCCTAGTGACTTCACGCCTGGAGCTCGCTAAAGTAAAAGTTATAAATCCTAGTGACTTCACGCCTGGAGCACTTCTCCAACACTTTATGCCAAGTGACGCGCAGTTATAGAGCCTCTAACCTCTTGTATAGCCCTTCTCTGCTCTTTAGAGCTAGTTATTCTTGGGGAAAATTCGTACCTCGTTTACCCTGCTAGGCGAATTACTATTTGTTACTATATTTACACTGTATGCCTCATTGGGTTGAAATGGAGCCACGTGCCACGTCGACCTATCCACACCACCCCCTACTTCGTCTTGCCTGGGCAACACTAACACTACACACCACACCAAACCACGCAGTACCCATCATCGTCCCCTTCTTTTCCTCACCAACCCTCCTTCCTTCCGCTCACCACGTATCCCCACAACCCCCCGCGGCAATTTCGAGGTTCGTAGCTTTCAATCACCTCGTGCCCCTCAGCCAGTCCCCCAAAGAACACCTAGCAGTTGCGCCAAACATTCTCTCGCGTTTTTCAACACTTCCGCCCGCCATGGCTTCCCTTTCTTTCGCCGCCTCCGTCGCCACGTGCCCTGCAGCGGCCGCTTCCCCGTCAACCGCGCCGGTCTCCTCGCGGCGACTAAACGTCGAGTCGGCGCACCACGTGAACAAGAAGGCGACGGGCCGCCACGTGGCGACGCGGCCGAAGAAGCACGCGGTGTGGGACAGGAAGCGCGGCGGAACCAAGGACTACGGGCCGCTGCCTGAGGCGCCTCCTGTCTATCGTCTAGAGGAGGATGAGAAGGCCCCGGCTGCTTCTTCGTAGACACAACCTATGGCGTCTCGATAGACCCTAGTCTGGGACAGCTAGCCTGGCTTACGTGTCGACTCGTAGCGTATCTTGGTGAATCTAAGGGCAGTGGTCCGTAGCTGGTGATTTTCCCCCTCTTCCGGACAAACTACGAGGAGGTTAAGGCTGTGCCAGATTGTTCTTAGCCACGCCAGGAGCAGGGTTTTAGACGCGTCGAAGCTAGGAGCGGCTGTTGCCGGTCTTTCGTCCCATTGTTGATTCTTCCTGCCGTGTATGCGTAGTGGAAGTATATTGTACTCTCGGCTTCCCCTAACCACCACCCTACTACCATTACCGTCGAGTCATTATGTTGTCGTCCCGGTCGAAAGCATTCACATCTCGCAGGCGTGTTTTACTGACGTTGCACACTTGAATAGCCTTTTGCTTGTCATCCCTGAAGGAAGCCTCTACCGCCCGAGCCATTTCCGAGCCTTGACGAAACGCCTGGTCTTGCCTTGCGCTGCATTAGAAGCCTTGAATGTTAAGTGCATATTTCGACCTCTGTTTCGTTTCCACAACTCTCCTTCACCTCGCATTTCCCCCGTTTCCCCTCATCCCTCGCTCAGACTTCACCATCCCCTCCCCCAATTCCTCCCGCCCCCACCTTCTCTTCCCTCTGTCCCTTTTTCCGTCGTTCCCTTCCTCTCTCTTTCCCCCAGTCCATTCCTTTCTTCCTCCCTCCCTCCCTCCCTCCCTCCCTCCCTCCCTCCCTCCCTCCCTCCCTCCCTCCCTCCCTCCCTCCCTCCCTCCCTCCCTCCCTCCCTCCCTCCCTCCCTCCCTCCCTCCCTCCCTCCCTCCCTCCCTCCCTCCCTCCCTCCCTCCCTCCCTCCCTCCCTCCCTCCCTCCCTCCCTCCCTCCCTCCCTCCCTCCCTCCCTCCCTCCCTCCCTCCCTTCCTCCCTCCCTCCCTCCCTCCCTCCCTCCCTCCCTCCCTCTCTCCCTCCCTCCCTCTCTCTCTCCCTCCCTCCCTCCCTCCCTCCCTACCTTCCTCCCTCCCTCCCTCCCTCCCTCCCTCCCTCCCTCCCTCCCTCCCTCCCTCCCTCCCTCCCTCCCTCCCTCCCTCCCTCCCTCCCTCCCTCTCTCCCTCCCTCCCTCCCTCTCTCTCTCCCTCCCTCCCTCCCTCCCTCCCTCCCTCCCTCCCTCCCTGCTACGGTATGTATGGGATGTTTAGTTGTCCTTGTTGCAAGCACAGAACGAATGTATGAAGGAAAGGCCTCTTGCTGGTGGGCAATGGGGCATTGGCAGTGCATGTGCAGGCCATGAGAGGGGATGGTATGGATGGAATGGTACGGTATAAGGAAGTGAAATGAGAGTAGGTGAGCAGAAATTACTATGATGTGACATCCGAGGTTATTCAGCTGGGTGTGTCAGCTCAGCTGTCTAACTAGCCTTACCCCTAGTCACTTGTGCCCCGGAACATGTGCATATACCTAGCTCATACTGAATACCTGTTGAGTGCTCTGCATTCTGAAAATGCTTTAGTTGTTGAGGTACCACATGATTCCTCCTGATTGGTTCAGCCGCAACACTGTACATGACAACGCATTTTCCAAAAAGAACAGGCATTCCGCGCGGAGCTCAATGTTCTCTCCGCGTCCTCCGCAGTCATACCCCAGCCCAGGGCAATCCCCCCGCCATTCAACTTCCCTCCACCCCTCTCCTTCCGCCCTGCGATTTTCCGACAGACGGGGATTTGCGCGATACAAGGTCTCACTCGAGAGCTCGGCTACTGTAGTGGGGGAGCGGGGGAAAGGAAACCTCGAGAGAGCTCGGAAAAGCTTGGGGGAAGCGCGGGACGAGGTGGGGGAAAGGATTTTCCGCCATCCGAGTTCCAGAATCCAGATTCTGGAAGAGTAAACTTGCCGGAACGCATTAAGCTGCAGGAGAAACTATGTCACCCAAGTTTTAGGTTCCAGAATTTTATGGCCAGTTACAATTAGGAGGTTTATGACTAGGCGTTAGATTTTGTCCGTCTGGTTGTGCCGGTTCGAGTCCGTCGTTAATCATGAGTTCCATCGGTTAGTTCGTCGCTTGAGTGCATGGCGAATTTCCGTTCCGTCGGTACCAGTAAAAAACAGCAACGCATGCGCTGCAGCTCGATATGTTTAATTTGATGCTTGCTCTTTGAACTCTCTTTCTAAGTCCTCAGCCGAAGGCCGTTTGCAGTCCCGTTTTCAGAGTCGGTCTAAGAACGATTGAGCGATTGAATTTATCTATCAGGGCTGAAGCTATCAGTCACCTTAGAATCCATTCATCCGAATTGAGCATATCAGTCAGCTTAGAAACTATCAACCGCAGGCCATGGCGAGCGCAGCGTTGTTTCCGCCGCTCGCAGCGGCGTCGCGAGAGCCTTCGGATGTCGTGCTGAGCAGAGTGCGCGAGTTGGTGCTGCAGATCGTGGCTGGCGGGAACCACCCCGAGACGAGTCTGTTGCACCAGCTCGCCTCGATCATTGAGGATGAAGAGCAATGGTGAGATTTTGTCGTTTCTACTTCTCTCCCTCCCTTCCAAGTTGTCTGAATTGTTACTCGTTCTGATTTTTAATTTACCGTCCCTCTCCTTCCCTTCTCGCATATAATTCATGATTTGTTGCGTTTCATTCTTCAGACTTACTACTTCCAAGTAGTTCTGTCCGTTGAATCAAGCAGGAATTTGCTGATCGTCGTGTGCCTCGTAACGTTCCAACTGGCATCAACTTGTCTTTATCCGCCCTCCTGATACATGTTGTAATCCTCAGGTACCAGCAGCAAGCGGGTTTCTCCTCGTCTAATCTCCGAGCCTCGTACACTATCGGACGAATTGTCAATTCTTTGCGCGTACGTCGATCGTCCCAAGTCATGCGTTGTACCTTTTTATCAAATCTATCCCACTTAGTTCTTATTGATCCCCTGGCCAGCCAACTGTCCGTTCGTCACCTGTGTACCTCTCTGTAATATCTGTTGTGTTCAACCTTCGCGTTAACATATTGTAGAGTTTCTCATCCTTTCGCCAGCTGTGCCTTATAGTCCATTATTCCTTCCTTGTTTCCGCCAGGAGGACGACGACTTGTACGAGCTGCTGACGTCGAAGCTGCTGCTCCAGTCGTGGCGGTCGCAGGAGGAGCGAGCAGCGGGAGCTCGCCTGCTGCTCGCCTGCGCGATGAGCTTCGTGGTGAGTCTTGGGGGGGAAACACGCTCTGTGAGTCCGCGAGTGTCAAACCCGCATGTTCCCCCTTGCCTCCTATTTCCCCCCACTCTACCCCTGACAATACAACCCCCTCCTTCCCCCCCCACCCTTCCCTTCGCATCACCCCCTTGCCTACCCTTGACGTTCCTTCTGCGGATCGTCCTATGCAGTATGTGTTCCGGCGTTTGTTCCACTCCACCTCTGTTTTTCCACGTGTTCCTCTCTTCTCCCGCACCACATGACGAAGTGTTCAAGGAGTGCATTTTTTTTCCGAGCCATTGACCTAGCCCTGACTGAATTACGCTCACGCAAGCTTTTCCCTCACTTGCTCCTCTCCCCCGGCACTGCGTTGACATCCCATGTTCACACCACACAGTACCGTGGGGTGTTCGAGGAGGGTATTCTAGAGCGAGTCATTGCGTGGGCCGCCCTCTCCACTCGTGCCGCCCCACCCCCTGCTCTTGCCACCGCCACAACCGCCGCCGCTGCCGCTTCTGGTGGCGCTGCTGGTGGCGCCGGGGGCACACAGGAGGAGGAGGAGGAGGAAGAGGAGGAGGATGCAGGGGAGGAGGGTCAGGGGGCGGATCGTAGCGGAGCGGGAGGAGCTGGGGCTGGCGGCGCTGCTGCTGCTGCTGCTGCTGCTGCGGGTGGGGGTGCTGGCGGGGGTGGTGCTGCTGGTGGTGGTGTGGGTGCGAGGGCGAGAGCATCGGCTGTTCTGGCGACGGATATGCTCAGAACGTTCTCGACTGGACTCGTTGCTGTTGCACTCAGCTCGTAAGCACCACGCTGGTTCGTCATTTGAGAGATCTCGTGCCGCACTTGGCTCCTCCAAATTTCTGTATTTCTACCTCCCTATTCTTTCCTTGAATTCCGAAATTCCTCTTCCCACTCTACCCGCGCCCCCCACCTCCCTCCCAGCAACGAAGCGGCGGTGGAACAAGTTGTGCGCACGGGCCTCGTGCAGCACCTTGCGCGCCTGCTGCGCAAGCGAGTGCTGGGGCGCGCTGCTGCGCCCACTGCAGGGGGAGCGCGAGGCGAGGGGGGAGCAACAGGGGGAGCAGGCGCAGGGGGAGCAGGCGCAGGAGGAGTAGGAGGAGGAGGAGTAGGGGCGGGGACGGGGGTTGTGGGAACACCAGGGGGCAGAGGGAGCAAGCTACGTAGTGTGAGTAGCAGGGGGGAGAGCAGCGCTGCCGCTACCACCGCTGCAGCTGCTGCGGCTGCAGCTCAAATTGCTGGATTAGCAGGGGAGGCGAGAGCAGCAGCATTAGGGGTCGGGGAGGCGAGAACAGCAGAGGAGAAAGGGAAAACAGAGGCGGTCGGTGAAGGGGTAGGAAGCGGAAACGCTGCAGCACAGGGGGATGTTGTTATGGCTGCTGCTGCAAAAGTTACGCCCAACCCCCTTTCCCCGTTGGGGAAACTGAAAGACTTGGGAGGGGGAGGGATGGTCGCGGAAGGGGGCAGAGAGGAGCTGGGAAGCAGGAGTCGAGGGGGAGGAGGGGGAAGGAAACCAGGGCTGAAAGGGAGCAAAGCAGAGCACGGCGCAGGGAAGGGCAAGCATGCTCCCGCCTCTGGAACTGCTGGGTCCGAGGTTGAGGGTTCAGGGTTTGGGGGTTCGGGAGCTGGAGGCTCTGGGGGTTCAGGGGTTCCGGGGGGTTCTGGGGCTAAGGGTTCAGCCCTTGAGAATTTACTCCCTCCTCCGAAAGCTGTTAAGGTTGGGGCTGTGGATATCACTGTAGCGGTTGCAGCCGCATGGGAGGCGGCGAGAAGGGAAGCAGAGGCAGCAAATGCTCCAGCTGACGTGGTGGCAGCTGCAGTAGAGGCAGCAGCAGAGTCGGTCAAGCAAGCAGCTTCCGATGCGTTGGAGGGGGGAGGAGGAGACGAGGCTGTTGCTGCTGCTGCTAGGAGCGCTGCTGATGCTGTGAGACAGGCGGCGCAAGCAGTGAGCGGGGCAGGGAGTGGATCAGGCAGCGGGAGCAAGGGCACAGCTCCAGATGCTCCAGGTGCTTCTATCCCACCAGCTGCTGCTGCTGCAGCAGACGCGGCATCAGGAGAAGAATCAGGTAGAGCAGCCAGCACAGCAGAGCAGACCCCACAGCCCACCACCCCAGCACCATCACAGGATCCCACCTCTGCACCATCCACATCCCACGCCACCCCCACCGGCCCCACCGCCCCCACCGCTCCCTCCTCCGTTCCATCCTCTGTTCCAGCTGTTCCTTCCTCTCCCGCTCGCCCTGCATGGCAGCTGACCCGGCCGCAGCTGGCGCAGCTGAGGGAGTGGTACGCGGTGCAGACACTGGCAGTGCTGGGCGAGTACATGGAGGTGCTGGGTCCCGTGCTGCACGAGAAAGGGGTTGACGTCTGCCTTGCTCTGCTCAGACGCGCCACACCTGGGGCTGCAGGGGCGGAGGGGTCTGTTGCTGCTGCTGCTCCTGGTGTGGTCGGTATAGGTGGTGGTGCTTCTGCTGCTGCTGCTCCTGGCGCAGGGGATTCCACAGCAGGTGCAGCGGCAGCGGCAGGAACAGCAGGAGCAGCAGCAGTGTCCCGTGGGCTGATGAGTGTGTTGCTGCTGGCGGACGTGCTGAAGCTGGTGTGTGCGCTCACAGCACACCGCAAGTTCGCCACACTCTTTGTGGACCGCGGGGGCGTGCAGCTGCTGCTCTCCCTCCCCCGCGTGCCCCACACCCTCCCCGGTCTCGCTGTCGTGTTTTTCGCCCTCGCCTCTATTCAGGTAACCACCTGAGACCCCCTTCCCCTACTTTTCCTTGTTCGGACCTCCCTGTGCTCTCCCTCCACTCTTGAGGCATGCCCCACACCCTTCCCGGCCTCACTGTTGCCCGGTTCACGTCATGACTGGTTCGCCCTCACCTCAAGTAGCCCTCGCCTTCACTGTTGTCCAGGAGTCCTTCCCACCTCCCCGCCCTCCCGCCCTCCCCTCCTCCCTGCCATTCCCGCCCTCCTCACCTCCCTGCGCTGCGCTCTCCGCCCTCGCTTCTACCTAGAGTATCATAGAGTGTGATCTTTCCCCATCTCCTCCCTCCTCACCCCCCCAGAGTGTCATGCAGCGAGTGGTGTCCCTCTCCCAGCCAGTCATCCACTCTCTCATCTCAGCCGCTCTCCACCTGCTGCTCTGCCCCTTCTCCCCCTCGCGCCCTCTCCCCCAATTACCCTCCCTCTCCCCCAGAGTGTCATGGAGCGAGTAGCGTCTCTCCCCCAGCCAGTCATCCGCGCGCTCATCTCCACCGCTCTCCACCTCCTCCTTTGCCCACTCGACCACGCGCGGCGCAACACGGCGCTCTTCTTTGCCGCCTCCCTCGCCTTCCCGCGCCTCCTCCTCGAGTTCGACGCCCAGGGGGGCCTCCCCGCGCTCATTGCTCTGCTCCGGAATGCTGCTCAGTTAAGGTCAGGGGGCGGTGGGGGAGGGGCGCTGGGGGCGGGAGCAGGGGCAGGGGGAGTGGCGGGGGGAAGAGGTGGAGGAGCGGGAGGGGTAGTGGGAGGGGGAGCATTGGTGGAGGGAGGGGTTGGAGCAGGAGGGATTGGATTGGGCAGAGGGGTTAGGGGAGGGGGAGGGGGGGGAGCAGGCGGAGGGGTAGGAGGGTCAGAAGAGGGCGGAAGTGTTGGTGGGGCCTTGGGTTTGCCCTTTCCTCTGCACTTTGCTGCTGGGACTGCTGCTGCGGGAGGGATAGAACCAGGTTCAGATCCTGTAGGCGGGTCAGCTGGAGGAGCAGGCGGAGGAGCAGGAGCAGGTGCAGCAGCCATATCAGGGCCTGGCAGCAGCGGCGGCGGCACCGGCACAGGCGGCACCAGCACCAGCACCAGCATCGGCAGCGGCACGATGACATGGGAGGTGTTGACGCCAGCAGGGAGGCAGGTGGCTCACAACACGTGCATAGCCCTCCGCCAGTACATGCGAGTGCACCTCGTGCTGCACCTGGAGTCCCTGCACCACGCTCCTGGCTCCTCCTCCTCCGGTGCCTCCGGTGCCTCGTCTGGTGGCCCATCCAGTGCCCCCTCTGGTGCTCCCTCCTCCATGCTCTCCGCTCGCCACCGCACCCACCGCCCCACTGCTGCTCCTGCCGCTGCTCCTGGCGCTGCTGCTTCTTCCCCTGCTCCTCCTGCCGCCGCTGCCGCCGCTGCTGCTGCTGCTGCTGCTGCTGCTGCTGCTGCTGCTTCTGCTGCTCCTGCTGCTGCCTCTGAAACCCCTCACAAACCGTCGCATCACACGAGGAGTCTCACCAGAGCGGTGGATTCGAGCGCCCAGGCGGTGGAGGGGTTGATGGAGGCGCTGATGGTGTCGGACCGGCGGCTGGCACACGCGTTTGTGCGCTCGCGGTGGGGCGCTGCTGAGAGGCTCGTGGAGGAGGGTGCAGTTGACGTGCTTCTGGAGCTCTGCCAGGTGTGTGCGAGCAGCACCAGGTGGGTGCGAGCAGCACCAGGTGGGTGCGAGCAGGGTGCAGGGCTTTGTGTGTGTCTAGTCTAGGGATGCATGCGTTTTCCAGCTCGTGGCAGAGCGCCGCTGAGGGGCTCGTGGAGGAGGGGGCAGTGGACGTGCTGCTAGAGCTCTGCCAGGTGGGTTCTTTTGTTAAGAGATCAGGGGTTCGTGTTGCTGTGAATGCGCTGGGAGACGCTGGCCGAGCATTGTGCTCTCAAATATGCCTTTCACATATGCCTTCCAGCGAGATGTTTTCACACCTCCTGCGTTTTCCCTCCCTTCAAACAATCGCCTCCCTTCTCCCTCCCCCCTTCCTTTTCTATTGATTGAACTTGAAACTGACACCTCGAACCCCAACCCTAACCCTTCTTTGCAGATTCCGCCAGGAGAGCGCAGCACGGGGGAGCTAGCACAGCACGCCCTGGGAGTAATCCACGTGCTTACCCTCCCGCGCTTCACGCACCGCCGCTGTTGCCCTCCCCCTATTGAACCTGCAGATTCCGCCAGGAGAGCGCAGCACGGGGGAGCTAGCACAGCACGCCTTGGGGGTCCTCCACGTGCTCACCCTCGCGCCCTTCACCCGCCGCCACCTTAAAGCTCGAACCCCAAACTCTAACCCCTTTCTTTGCAGATCCCTCCAGGAGAGCGCAGCACGGGGGAGCTAGCACAGCACGCCCTGGGAGTACTCCACGTGCTCACCCTCCCGCCCTTCACCCACCGCCGCTGTTGCCCTCCCCCTATTGAACCTGCAGATTCCGCCAGGAGAGCGTAGCACGGGGGAGCTAGCACAGCACGCCTTGGGGGTCCTCCACGTGCTCACCCTCGCGCCCTTCACCCGCCGCCACCTTAAAGCTCGAACCCCAAACTCTAACCCCTTTCTTTGCAGATCCCTCCAGGAGAGCGCAGCACGGGGGAGCTAGCACAGCACGCCCTGGGAGTACTCCACGTGCTCACCCTCCCGCCCTTCACCCACCGCCGCTGTTGCCCTCCCCCTATTGAACCTGCAGATTCCGCCAGGAGAGCGTAGCACGGGGGAGCTAGCACAGCACGCCTTGGGGGTCCTGCACGTGCTCACCCTCGCGCCCTTCACCCACCGCCACGTGCTCACTGCACGCGTGGCCTCCCACCGCTGCGGCATGCCCGTGCTGCTCGACGCTGCCAGTGGTGCTCTGCTGGCGGATCCCGAGGTCATGCAGATCGCGCTGCTGGTCGTTGTGAATCTGGTGTGCCCGTTCCCGACTTACTGCTCCGTGGTGACTAGCCGGAGTGCAGCTCATTCTGCTGGTGCTGGTGCGAATGCTGCTGCCGGTGCTGCCGGTGGTGGTGGTGCTGGTGTTGGTGGTGGCGCTGCTATTGCTACCCCGAGCTCAAGCCGTGCACTGCCACGCATCACCGAAGGGGCTGAGGCAGGGCCACAGCAGCAACAGCAGCAGCAGCAACAGGTGCAGCAGCCGCAGCAGCAGCAGGACGCATTTTCTACACCTGTGCGTGCAACCCCAGCAGCAGCACAACCAGCACCAGCAGCAGCAGCAACACCCGGAACACCAGCGACAGGAACACCGGCAGCACCAGCACCACCTGCAGCCGCCACAGCACCGCCCTTAACCCCTCAGGACCGCAGGATGCAGCCTCTGGGACTAGGCCTGGGCGCAACAGGGCTAGCAGCTTACATGGAGCAAGGATACAAGCAAGCTAGAGACGCCCTCAGGGCCAGCAACGGTATAAGAGTGCTCCTACAGCTGCTGCACTGCAAACCCCCTCTACCCCCCCCTTCGGCTGAATGCATTAGAGCTCTTGCCTGCCGAGTGCTGCTGGGATTGGCTAGGGATCCCGCCCTGACGCATATTCTGACGAAGCTGCAGCTCGGGCGGCAGCTTTCGGATCTTCTGCGGGATGTGTCGGCGGGGTTTTCGTCTTCGTCTGTGCAGCACCATCAGCATCACCACCACCATCATCATCACCAGCAGCAGCCGAATCAGCAGCAGCAGAACCGTCAGCAGCATCACCACCACCACCACCACAGGGGATCCAGTGGCATGGGTTTGCAGGCTCTGCATGCTCGTTGGCTTCATGAGTTTCAACAGTCAGCTCTTGAACTCATTTCGGTAAGGTCTTCAACCGTCACAGCAACGCACACATTCCCCATCATGACCACCAGTAGCATCACCACCACCACAGGGGATCGAGTGGCATGAAGTTGCAGGCTCTACATGCACGAGTTTCGTGGCTGCATGAACACGTGGCTGCATGAACACGTGGCTGCATGAGTTTCAGCAATCTGCTGTTGAACAGTGCACCCTAAAAGCTCCCAAATAACTCATCTACACAAGGCGTTTAAATCTCTAACAGCCCTTCGTTGTGAACAGTGTACCCTGAAGACTGGTTATCATTGTGGTAGAACCTTCGTAGCGGGCTTAAACAGCAACTGGTGCGTTTTCCCTCTTCTTGCACTCTACTCCTACCTCACTTTATCTCCTCACCTTTCCTTCTGTGCTTCTCCCCTCAGCTCACCACGAGTGCAGGCAAGACGATGGTAGCAGCAGCAGCCACGGAAGCAATGCTCCTCTTTTCCTTCATCTTCCCTTTCCCCTTTTTTTTGAGGTTGATTTTGAGAATTCTCAAAATCGCCCTTCCTTCCCTTCTTCTCCCGCCGCAGCTCACTACAAGTGCCGGCAAGGCAACAACAGCAGCAGCAACGGAAGCAACAGCGCCTACACTCAAAAGGCTGGAGCGAGCTGCCATTGCTGCTGCCACTCCCATCAGCTATCCCCCCAGGTATATCATACAAGCTCCTTTGAATCTTACTCAGGTTTCTCTCTATCTCTCCTTGCCCATTCTCATCCTTCTTACAGCAAGATTTTTTTACTGATGCACGCTGATTTGGTATCAACGGGACTTCAAATTTCTCTCCCTCCGTCCCTGTCCCCTTTACAGCGAGCTTCTTCAACTCATACACGCGCATCTGATATCAGAAGGCCTACACCAGTCAGCAAGCCAACTACTAGCGGAATCAAACATCACCCCCCTCGTCGCCACCCCTTTTCCCTCCTCTCCTGCTGCCCTCCCCTCCTCCTCTCTTGCTCCCTCTGAGACTTCCCCCAATCGCCACCTACTACATGCTCTCCCTCCGTCCCCCGCTCCTCCAATTCCTCCGTCCGTCTCTGCTGCACCGGTTGCAACGTCAGCAGCAGCGCCAGCTGGCAGTTCGGGATTGGCTGCTGAGGCAACAGGGGGGCTTAGCTGGCCCAAGGGGAAAGCAGGATGGTTCTTCTCTGCTGGACGGAAGGGTGAGGGGATAGGTGAGAAGGGGGACAGAGGGGGGAGGGGAGGGAGGGGGGGAAGGGGTGGAAGGGGGGATAAGTCCGGGGAGGGAGGGGAGAAGGGGGCGGGGAGAGGAGAGAGGGGTGCGATTCGGCAGAGAGCGGTGGGAATGGATGCAAGTGGGGCGGGTGGGAGTGGGGTTGGAGGGGAGGAGGAGGGTCAGATCAGAAGGCGGATATTACTAGGTAGTTCCCTTGCGGAGAGGGCGAGAGGGAAAGGGGAGGGTAAAGGGGTGGAGAAGGAGCATGAGGAGCAGAGGGCGGCGGGAGATGCAGCGTTGAGCAAAGAAGGAACAAAGTCTGCGGGTGGGGATGTGGCTGGTGTTGGCTTGGCTGGTGGCGGTTTGACCAGTGGCGGCAGCAGCAGCAGTGGTGAGAAGGAGAGCAGCACGCCTGGGAGTTTGTCACGGCGTTTGTCGGGGAGGAAGCGGGGGTACAAGGAAGCCTCTGCTTCTGCGTCTGCAGCAGCGCTTCTTGTCTCTCCTCCCACCAAGCGAGCCTCCACGCTTCTCCCGCCTCTCCCCTCTCCTTGTCCTGCCCTGCCTCTGCAGGGTGCAGGAGCAGCGGTGGGTGCAGGAGCAGCGGTGGGTGCAGGGGTAGGGGCAGATGCGGGTGCAGCCGATGCTGGTGTTGGTGCTGGTGGGGATGGTTCTGATGGTGGTTCTGCCCCTGCCGCTGCTGATGCTACTGATGCATCTGGTAAAGCACCTGCAGGGTCTGCTGTATCAGAGGAGCCGGTTCCATGTTCAGGTGGAGTTTCAGGTGGAACCTCAGGTGGGGCCTCAGGTGGAACTTCAGGTGCCGCAGAGGACAGTTTGGGCCTGGTGCCAGCAGCTCAGGCAGCACCAGAAGCAGCCCCGCCCCCACCCCCAGCAGCTGTTCCTTCCGCAGTAGTACCTCCCCCAGTTCTACCTCCCCCAGCAGCAGCACCTACCCCACCTTTACCAGGAGCACCTGTCCCAGTTCTACCTTCCCCAGGCGAGCTCAGCACAACCCTGGACGGAATAGTCACGTCATATCTGAAGCAGCAGCACAGGCAGTGCCCCGCTCCCATCACCACCCTCCCTCCCCTCTCCCTCCTCCACCCCCACACCTGCCCCGAGCCTCTCCGTTCCCTAGACGCCCCTTACAGTATCACTCGCCGCCTCGCCGCCCGGCAGCGCCGCCCGCCCGCGGGCGGGTGGCAGGGGCGGCGGCTGGATCGGCAGCTAGTGTTCAGCCGGTTTCGCCCCTGGCGAACCTGCCGGGAAGATGCGGTGATGATTACCAGCACGTGCTTTTTGCTGGGGGCGGGAGGGGCGGGCGGGGGCGGCGGTGTGTGGGGGTTCGGCGGGGGGGGCGCCGGGGGTGTTGGGGGATTCGGTGGGGGGAGGCGATGCTTAGCAGTGGGGACGACTGCGGGGGAGATAAAGCTTTTTGACGCGGAGGGGGGTGTGGTTGTGGATAGCTACTCGTGCCACCAGTCATCCATTGTTTCGGTGTTTTTGGCACCAAGACCGGGGTATGACGATGATGACAGGGGGATTGTAAGACGCTGGCGGGGGAGACAACAGCAGGAGGAGGAGCTGCCCGAGGGGGCATCAGCAGCAGGAGCAGGGTCATCAGCAGCGTCAGCAGCGTACAGTGCAGCGTCCTGTCTGCTCCTCTCCTCTACCCGCACAGAAGTGAAGCTCTGGGATGCAGCAGACCTCTCTCTCGGTCCCCTGCACACCTTTCCCTCCTGCCGCCTCGGCCGCTTCAGCCACTCTGCTCGCACCATCGGTGCAGTGCGGTGCGATGGGCAGTCGAGGGAGTCGAGAGAGGTGCTGTTGTATGACGTGGCAACAGGCAGGCTACAGGAAACACTTAGAGAAGCGCCCATTGCTGCTGCTGCTGACTCGTACGCTTCTGGTGCTGCTGCTGGTGGCGCTGCTAACGCTGCTGGTGTGGTTGGTTGGGGTGGTGTGGGCGGTGGGGTTGCTGGTGGGGGTCTGGGAGCCGGGCGCGGTGGGAATGGCGGCTTCGGTGGTCTGTTTGGAAATTACAGCGGTTACGGTGGGTTTGGAGGGTTTGGGATCGGCCTAGCCGGCGCTGCTGGTGCGACCGGCGCTGCCAGTGCTGTTGCAGCCGGTATTGGCGGTGGTGGAGCTGCAATGATGGGTGGAGGAGGAGCAGGAGGAGGGGGGGCAGGGGTGAACAGGTCGTTGGGGTCCCAGGGCGTGCATTTCTCCCCGCTGGACGATCTGTTGCTGTGGAGGGGGTTCCTGTGGGACCCGCGCATCAGTGAACCTGTTCACCGCTTTGACCAGTTCTCGGACTACGGGGGAGGGGGCTTCCACCCAAATGGAAATGAGGTGAGTATTTTATTGGGGTCGTATTCAGGTGGGCCCATCAAAGCTTGGTCAGGGGCATGGCACCGGCTGCCCCAGCATCTGCTGCTGTGGAGGGGGTTCCTGTGGGATCCTAGAATCAGCGAACCTGTGCATCGGTTCGACCAATTCTCCGACTACGGGGGGGGGGCTTCCACCCGAATGGAAATGAGGTGAGTCGATTGGGAGGGTCTTTGTATGTTCAGCAATCAAAAGTGAGCAATCAGTCAGCCAGCCAGCCAGCAGCGGCTGCTGTGGAAGGGTTCCTGTGGGACCCGTGCATCAGCGAGCCAGTTCACCGCTTTGACCAGTTCTCGGACTATGGAGGAGGGGGCTTCCACCCAAATGGAAATGAGGTGAGTCGATTTGGGGGTCCTGTAAGTTCAGCGCCTAGAAGTGACCAGGCAGTCAGCAGATGCGTCTGCTGCTGTGGAAGGGGGTTCCTGTGGGATCCGAGAATCAGCAAGCCCGTGCATCGGTTTGACCAATTCCCGGACTATGGGAGAGGGGGCTTCCACCCTTCAGGCAACGAGGTAAGTGGTGTGGGGAGCAATAGTGAGCAGGGCATCAGAATCCCAGGCAGTGGAAGGGGTGGCACAGCCGCGACCGCAAGCACGCTCGCTTATTCCCCTCTATTCCTCTCATGCAACATGTCCCTCCGCTCCCCCTTCTTCCCCCTTCTCCCTCCCTCTCGCCCTTCTCCCCACACATCAGGTGATTATCAATTCCGAGGTGTGGGATCTCCGGACGAGGAAGCTTCTGCGCAGCGTCCCGTCCCTCGACCAGACCTCCATAACATTCAACGCCACAGGGGAAGTTATCTACGCGACTCTCCGCCGCACCACTGACGACCTTCTTGCAGCCCTGCACGGCCGCCGGCGCAAGCACCCTCTCTTCGCCGCGTTCAAAACTATCGATGCAACTTCGTACACCGACATCGCAACCGTTAATGTCGAGCGCTGCGTGCTCGATCTCGCCGTTGAACCGACCGACGGGTATGTGGCTGCAGTAGTGGTAGATGAGCATGGAGAATCGGATTCTGTTGCAAGACTGTTTGAGGTTGGGCGGCAGCGGGTGGTGGAGGAGTTGGGGGATTACGATGGGGAGGATGAGGGGGAGATGGAGGATGAGGGGGATGAAGGGGAGGAGGAGGAGGATGAGGAGGATCAGGAGGAGTTGGATAGTATAGAGGAGGAGCTTTTTGGAGGGTTTTCGGAGGATTTAGATGGAGAGGAGGATGAGGATGGGTTTGGGCAGCCGAGGGTGAGGGCTGTGAGGGCTGGTGGGCGTGGGGGACTGATGAATGGGGAAGTGGAGGAGGGGGAGTATCTGGGTAGTGATTCGGAGGATGATGAGGAGGCGGCACAGACGCTGATGGATTTGATCATGGAAGGACCCTCGGATGAGGATCCGGATAGTTTTAGCGACGAGGAGGATGACGAGGATGACGATGACACAGATGAGGGCGATGATGAAGATTCAGATTTTGAGGATGAGGACTGGGATTCGGAGGATTCGGCCCCAGACGAATAGGTTCTTAGACATTTCTCTGGGGTGGTCATCTGTAATTCCCTGTAGTTGACGAAGCAATGAATGTGGTGTTTGGTTGTTTTTTTTTTCAAAAGAGAGCGGTTCGTTCATAATCATGAGTCGTGTAACACTTTCACTATGGTATCTGATTCATTGTTGTCAGACCAAAATTCAGAGCGCGCATGCCTGTGTTCTGCACTGCTCCCTGATGTCGCGGCTCGCCAGCAACACTTTCGGCGAGTGGCGTAAACGGAGCTTATGATATCTCAGCCAATGAATGCCCTCAACTTCGCAAAAAGCTTGGATGACGCGGAAAGATCAAGGTTCATAAGTGGCTAAAGGTTCTTTCCGCCACAGCACCTGGAAACTGAGGAAAGCCAGCGAATCAGACCTACTTTATCGCCGAAGCTGTGGTTGCTTTGCTGAGTTGGCATTGGCTTCAGCGGCTGTGTGGGCCGCATTCGCCGCTGGGCAGTTCACCTGAACAAATCCACGACTCGTGGGAAGGCCGTTCCGCAGTCGAGCGGTCTGATTGGGCCAGATCCCTCGGGAATACTTCCCACCAACTTTTCCTGCCACCAGACCACCATCCACCGAGCACGCCAAAAATCCCTCTCAGCGGTCACGAAGAAATGGATGAATTCGCTCAATTCTTCTCTGCCACGAGCTTTCTGAATTCGTAACCATAATTGAGCCCTCGCGAATTCCTTCGCACGATTTTTCCCAACCAACCACCCGGGCAAGCTCCTTCCGCGTCGCGACAGAGGATGATCATGTTGGGGGTCAGGCAGAGAGAAAATCCCAGAACATACGCGACTCGTCGGTTCGGTTCGGCATCAGTAACTTCGAGTCCAAGTAGCCGCCAGCTCACCAGGATCAGCGCCCCGATTGGTTGGTGGTTTGGGCCATTGGGGCAGCACGATGTGCCAGGCCTATCTCACTGCCACTACCGAATCGGTTTGGGCCACACCTTACCTCCCCGGCTGGTTCGGTTTGTTCATTCCCACGTTCCCTCATCCCTGAATCCCCTTCCTGGGAAAGCCGTTCACGCCGTGGCTTCTCACGAATTCGGGCCATTTTCAGGTGCAATCTCTATAGTACAGGGAATGTGTTCAGGTGCGATCCCATTCTGTTACGGCACTGTTGCGGCACTGTACACACTTGCCGCAACAGTACCTTATGCAGACTTGCCACGCACATCTTGTTTAGCTGACGGATTGTCTCTGACACATTCTGACGGAAATCAAACATACAGCATGGCCCGACCAAACTACCCGCAGCTGTTAAGGCCACCCGAAAAAAAAAAACAAAATAAAACCCCTAGAGAACCTGGAAGCAGTTTCGGGAGGGATCAACCCTAAACACCAAAACCCATCTGGTGTTTAGGGTTTATGCCTGTCGATTCGATTGCGTCCCGATTGGGTTTTATTTTTTTGTCACGAAAACCTTACGGTGGCATCAACCCTTAACACCAGGAGGTTCACGTGTTTAGGGTTGATCTCCCAAAAATGCGTCCGGGGTCACTAAAGCGTTTAAGTTTTATAATTTCGGGGTATGTCTTAGCAATTCCTGGTACCGTCTAAACGAAGTGTGGCGCATTAATTTCACATCACTTCACCTCAGCCAGTACAGATTTGAGTGGCGTATCTTTTCAAGGCTCTGTTCCGGCACGCGTGTACAGTACGCAACAGAGACTTGGAAAGATGCGCCTGGATCACACCTGAAAACATTTCCCTAATTGTTGAGATTGCACCTGAAAATGGCCCCACGAATTCCGATCACTCACCCACCGCGTGCAGTTCTCCCGTCCTCACGTGGCCAAACCAAGCATAAACAGAATGGTTTTGCCATTCGTTCAATACACACAGTGATAAATCACTTTTGTTCTGCAACGGCCTTCAGACTAGTGACCGAAGGATTATATACAACCGCATTTTTCGAAACGGGGCAGCAGGTAGTTTCTGCTGACTCACGTCCGCTGTCCAATTTACCTTTGCGAACACTCTTCCCGTCGTTTTAGAATCTGACAATGGCGCCGGCTGACGGATTCCCCGCCGCCGATCCGGCTGTGAAGCCCTCGACAGCTTCAGCAGACGAAGCAATCCCCACTAACGGCAGCGCGAAGAACGGCAACAGTCGCGCCGCGACATCGGCAACCCAAGCCGCGACGTACGTTGGCTCGCTCTGCCAGCTCTCCGCGCCGCTACCGACAAAAGTCGCGCTGGTCAACGCGGATCAGCTGGCGGAATCCCCGGAGGAGGAGGCGGAATGCGAGACCATGGAGCAAGCCGTGCTCTCCGCTCTCGACGCGCTTCCCAAGGACATCGACCGTTACATGTACCTCCGCGCGACGCGCGAGGCGGACGAGGAGTTATTTTTCCGCCTACTAATGGACCATACTGAAGAGGTTCTTCCTTACATCTACACGCCAACGGTCGGCGAGGCCTGCCAACGCTACCACGAACTCGGGATCGTTCCGAACGGAATCTACCTCACGGCGGCGGATAAGGGCCACTTTCTGGAGCGCCTCCGCGCAGCGTGCCCGCACAGCGGCATTCGCGCGATTGTGGTGACGGACGGAGAGAGGATCTTGGGTCTCGGGGACCAGGGCGCGGGGGGGATGGGGATCAGCGAGGGGAAGATTCTGCTTTACACCGCAATGGCGGGGTTAGATCCGCGTCGCGCCCTGCCGGTGATGCTGGACGTGGGGACTAATAACGAGAAGCTTCTAGCGGATCCGGCGTACAAGGGCCTGCGTCAGCGGCGGCTGCGCGGTCCGGAGTACGACGAGCTCGTGGACGAGCTGATGACCGCGGCGCGCACGCTTAAGCCGCACGTTCTGCTGCAATTCGAGGACTTCGGCAACTGCAACGCGTTTCGGCTGCTGGAGCGCTATCAGCACACTCAGTGCTGCTTTAATGATGATATCCAGGGTACGGCGTGCATCACGCTCGCGGGATTGCTCTCCGCGCTCCGCGTCACCGGGCGGCCGCTGGAGGAGCAGCGCATTCTGTTCCTCGGCGCGGGGGAGGCGGGGACGGGGATCGCGCAGCTGATCGCGCAGGCGATGAATCGACGGTGCGGGATGGATCTCGACGCGGCGCGGCAGCGGTGCTTGTTTATGGACTCTAAAGGCCTCGTGTGCAAGGAGCGCGAGTTAAAGGGCGAGCTGCAGGATCACAAGATCCCCTTCGCGCATGATCTGCCGTACCAGCCGGATTTGATCTCGGCCGTCCATGAGTTCCGACCGACGGTGCTGATCGGCGTGTCGGCGCAGGCGAACGCTTTCTCCAAGGAGGTGATTGAAGCGATGGGTGTGTATAACGAGCGGCCCGTGATCTTCCCGCTCTCCAACCCCACGTCCAAGGCGGAGTGTTCTTATAAAGAGGCGTTCAAATACACGGGCGGGCGCGTGGTTTTCGCGAGCGGAAGCCCGTTCCCCCCGCTGGTGGCGGAATCGGCGGAGCCGGGCGGCGGGAAGTTGACGATGTACCCCGCACAGGCTAATAACGCGTACGTGTTCGGGCCGATCGGCATGGCGGCTCTGTTAACGCGGTGCAGCAGTATCACGGATGACGTATTCCTGTCGACCGCGGAATTCCTGGCGCAACTCACGCCGCAGGCGCATCTGGACCGCGGAATGCTCTTCCCCTCGCTCTCCGCCATGAAGGTGTGCGCTCGTTCCCTTTCTCCCCGCATTCCCTCTCCGGTTCTTTTAACTGGTTGAGTAGTAGCACGTTTTGCACAGTAGCGCATACAAGCATATTGGTTACGCATCTTCAGCTTCACAACAATCAAGGGATAAGAACTTATCACTTACAGTAACAAGCAAGTCAACTTAAGTCTTAAGTACAGGTTAAAACACCCAGTCACTATCCTCAACCCGCTTCCACCCCCCCTCGGTGCCCCCCTCCCCGGTCCGTGCTTCTTTCAGGCGCTCGTGCCGCTGCTTATAGCGCGTATATCGGAGTTCATGGTGGCGGCGGGGCTGGGCACCCCCCCGCCCGCGGTGGGTGCGGGGACGGTGGCGGACTGGGAGCGCCACGCGCGCGCGAGCATGTACCACCCGCACCCGCACGGCCCGCTCGCGCTCCCCGCTGTCCCCAGCGACTCGGAGGAGCTCCAGGGCTGGGCGGGCGCAGGCGCAGGCGCGGGCGCGGGCGCGGGCGCGGCGCAGACGGAGCAGAGCCAGTTGCAAGACGTGGTGCATCAGCATCTGCACATGCCGGGGGGACCGGAAGTGGAGGTGAGCGCGGGCGACATGGCGGAGCTGGCGGACATGTGCCGCGACTTCCAGCTCTACCTCCTGGACCGCCGCCTCAAGGAGAACGGCGTCGCCGCCTTCATCAAGCCCTCCGCGCTCCCCGCCGCTGCTGGCGCGGCTGCTGCTGCTGCTTCTGGTGCGGGCGCGGGTGCTGCTGGTGCGGGCGCGGGGTTGAAGGAGATGCGCGGGGTGTACCTGACGGGGAAGGACCGCGGGCAGATGCTGCAGCGGCTGCAGCGGTGGGGGGAGCAGCGCGCGGAGGTGGGGAAGGACGTCGATGCGGTTCTGGTGGTGGACGCGGAAATCGTGCTGGGTCACACAGGCAACAGTAGCAGCAGTGGTAGCAGCGGTGGTAACGGTAACGTCGCTAGTAGTGACAGCATGGCGACGCTCTTCTCGTCTGCAGCAGCCGCATGGCCGAATCTGGACCCGAGCAGGTGCCTTCTGGTGTGTCTGGATACGGGCACGGATAACCCTCTGCTGTTGGCGGCTGGGTCTGGTTACAGGGGGCTGAGTCATCCGCGTTTGAAGCCGTCTCGTTACAATGATATCCTGGCGGAGCTGCTGGGCGCTGTGCGCGTGTGGAACCCGAGCCTGCTGCTACAGTTCACGGACTTTTATAACAGTAACGCGTTTAAGCTCTTGGATAAGTACCGCGGGACTCACTGCTGCTATGAGAGCACAACCACAAGCAGCGACAGTGGGGAGGAGGAGGGAGAGGAGGAGAGCAGCAGCGAGAGTGATAATGAGGTGGCAGCGGCAGGAGCGGGAGGGTGGGGAGGGAGTGTGGGGGAGGGAGTGGGAGGAGAGGGGGTGGGAGAGTATGTGGTTCCGCAGGTGCCGGTGTGCTGTGTGTCGCTGGATGGTATGCTTTCCGCTTTGGAGGAAGCTGACGGTGTTGTAGCGGAATTCGGGGTGGCTTTTATGGAGGATGCTGCGGATGGGGAGCCCAGGGGCGCGGTGACCAAGGGAAAGGCGTCGACGAATGGCGTGGCGACAAGTGGCAACGGAGCGGCAGACCTGGTGGGGCTGCAGGATGTGAAGGAGTGTACTCTGGATGGCGGCAATAACGACCTTATCTGCAGTAAGTGGAATTAATTGAAGAGCTCACTAAAATCCCTTTCTTGCCATACGGAGCGATCAATCTTGCAGAAACCCACATTCCTGCTTGTTCTTTAGTTGTACTCTGCTTGTTGTTCCTCATTTTCCACTTTTCAAATCCCTCCTCCCCTTGTTTTCCCTCTAAACAGCTGGCTCTCTCACCTCTCCCTCAACACGCAAGACTCAGCACAAGACCCGAGCTGTCCCTCACAGGCTCGCCATTCCCTCGTCTCTGCCCTACTGCACGCCTTTCACTCACTCCCGCTCCCTTGCTGCTCCAACCCTGCGCCTGTCCGTGCCTCGGGCTGGTTCGGGGGGTTTCCGTGCCCTGGCTGCTGGTTCGGTGAAGGCAGGGGCGTCTGTTGCTAGGGTGGCTGGCCTGGGTGTTGGGCTGCGGTTTGCTTCTGCATGAAATCTCTTGTTTATGGGTAGATTGAAGATTGAATCGTGTATGGCTTTATCCCCTGTTGGTACGTAGAGTAGATGGATGTAGAAGATCAAGTACGGTAGTATTGAAGTACCCTCAAATCACTGACGGAAGAGCTGCCTGTCACTGATAACAACCTTTCCCTTCCTAAAGACTCAGGCTGACTGGGTGAATGAAGAGCTGGAATAACTCATGATTGTAGATACCGCATGGTGAAGAGCAATCACAGTATGGATTGGTTGAAAGCACATGATAACAACAGGCTGAAGATGATGCCGGTATCCATTGTTGGGCTGAGAAAAGCCCTTAGAGGATCTTTGCAGGGGTGAACTCTGGGTAGGAACGATGTAATATGTCAAACATATATGCTGCATATTGTCTAGGCTGTAGTGGGGTAGCCCATATGGGGTACAACCAAATTAGGGTTTACTACTTGTACTCCTGCATGCTCTTAGTTCATCATTCCTGCTGCTGCTAGATTTTTACATGGCTTCAGAGCACTAAGGTCCGTAGGACCGTTTTTTTCGGGCCCACCTACCGCTGCGGTTACCGCGCTACCCCACGTACCTGCCTGCCTTGCCTTGCCTTGTGACGTGCTGCACTACGCGAGCCGTCCAGCAGCCCTAGCGCTGCCTCCTGCTGCCCTAGGCCAGCGCGCTGCCCCTAGAGGCCCGTAATGTCAAGATAGTAGCTAGAGGTGAGGAGCCATGCTAGGGTGAAGAGGAGAAAGTGTCGAGAGAGTTTAGGCAAGGAAAGAGGGGTTTCACTATAGCACACAAGGTACATATAGCAAAGCAACAAAGAAGGTGCACCACCAACTCTTAATAATAATAACTACAGTACCTACAGCACGCAGGGTATATATTAAACATATTGTTTGACACACCCCCTTAGCCTGCGTGCGGTAGAAACTGGTGCAGCCAGCACCCCCTGAACGAGCAAACCAAGCGCTGTGGAAGAAGGCAGAGAAGTGAGGAAGGTGAGAGGAGAGGAGAGAAGAGGAGAGGAGAGGAGAGGAGAGGAGGTGGGGGGCCAGGACCGGCGGACCCGCTTACGAACCTCCTTTTACAAAGGGGAGGTGAGAGAGGGAAGGGAGAGGAGGTGGGCTAGGCGGGCTTGAGCGCGAAAGCTCATAGCGATCCCCCCCCGTTAAGAACCCCCAAGTCCCGATGAGGAGAGGAGGTGGGCTAGGCGGGCATGAGCGCGCACGCTCAATGCGATCCCCCCCCGTTAAGAACCCCCTAGTCCTCACCCCCTCGTCACTCAACCCCGTCAACCTCACACCTTCCGCACCTGTCTTCTCCCGCCACCCCCTCACCCTTTTCCACTTCTTCCCCCCTCTTAACTTCTCTCCTCCCCCCCCCCCCCCCCTACAGCAACAAGTGCTGCAGGGAGAGAGGAAGAGGGAAGGGAGGGACAGCCTGCTGGAGGTTCACACCCGCCACCCCCACGTCTTCCCTCCCCCCCCCCCCCCCACGACTGAAGCCGCGGAAGGGAGGGCGGGAGGGGGGGCAGCGTGAGCAGCTGCCGGCGCTGGCGCTGGCGGCAATCGCAGCTGCTGGTGGTGGCGCTGGCGGTCTGCGCAGGCACTGGCGCTCACGGCTGGCTGCGGCGCTGGCGCTCGCGCTGGCACTGGCGCTCGCGGCTGGCCGTGGCGCTGGCGTCCGCACTGGTGAAGGCGGATCGCGGGGCGACGGGGGCCGCGAGGCGACGAAACGGGGTTCGCGGACGACGGGAAGGGGTGCGCCCCGACGACGGAACGCAGGGCGCCGCGGCGACGGAACACGGGGCGCCGCGGCGACGGGAACCGGGCGCCGCGACGACGGAAAGCGGGCGCCGCGGCTACGGGAACGCGGGGCGCCGCGGCGACGGGAATTAGGCGCCACGGCGAACGGGCAGGGCAGAACGCGAGCGACGGGCGAACGGGAAAAAAAAAATGGTGCATTTCGCGCTGTTGTACGGGCGGGCCCATAATTCTTAAAAAAAAAGGAAGGTTCCGGGAAAGAACCTGCTCTGTACCATGTCAAGATAGTAGCTAGAGGTGAGGAGCCATGCTAGGGTGAAGAGGAGAAAGTGTCGAGAGAGTTTAGGCAAGGAAAGAGGGGTTTCACTATAGCACACAAGGTACATATAGCAAAGCAACAAAGAAGGTGCACCACCAACTCTTAATAATAATAACTACAGTACCTACAGCACGCAGGGTATATATTAAACATATTGTTTGAAGGGCCCGTAAGGCCCGCGCGCCGCCCCTACACGCCCTTCAGGCCCGCGCAGCCCGCACCGAGCCGCGCGCAGCCCGCTGCTGCCGCGCGCTGCCCGCACCGAGCCCGCGCAGCCCGCACCGAGCCGCGCGCAGCCCGCTGCAGCCGCGCGCAGCCCGCACCGAGCCGCGCGCAGCCCGCTGCTGCCGCGCGCAGCCCGCGCCGAGCCCACGCAGCCCGCGTCGAGCCGCGCGCGGCCTGCTGCTGCCTCGCGAGGCCCGCGCGCCGCCCGCAGCAGCCCGCACCGAGCCGCGCGCGGCCTGCAGCAGCCCAGCGCGCTGTCAGCGCAGCCCGCGCCGAGCCGCGCGCGTCCCTCTGCCTCGGCCCCGACCTGCCGCTGATGCGGCCCCGCCCTGCAGCTGCCACGGCCCCGACCTGCCGCTGATGCGGCCCCGCCCTGCAGCTGCCACGGCCCCGACCTGCCGCTGAAGCGGCCCCGCCCTGCAGCTGCTTCGGCCCTACACTGCCGCCGGTGTTGCGGCCCCGACGTCGCCGCTGTCGTGCGCCTACTCGGCCGCCGCCCGTCGAGCGCCGGCCCTGCTCGCCCGGCGAGCGCCTGCTCTTCCAGCCTTTGGTGAGCACCTGCCTGCCTGCCTGCCTGCCTGCCTGTCTGCCTGCCGGCCTGCCTGCCTGCCTGCCTGCCTGTCGGCCTGCCTGCCTGCCTGCCTGCCGGCCTGCCTGCCTGCCTGCCGGCCTGCCTGCCTGCCTGTCTGCCTGCCGGCCTGCCTGCCTGCTCGCCTGCCTTGCTCGAGCTGCTGCTACTACTTTTGCTCTTAGCAGGTGGCCCGATGCAGCTCCAGCGACGTTCCCGCGAGTCTCCCACGCCCCAGCTACTTCGTGAGTGGTATACTAGTTGGGGCTGTCGCGGTAGCCGTCGTAGCTGTCGCCCTGGAGCTGGTCAGTTGGGAGCGTCTGGCAGTGGCCATCTGCAGCTACAGCAACATCCACGCGAGACACTTACGCTCCAGCAGCTCCATGAGTGGTACGCTCAGAGTCGGGGGTCTTTGAGTACGGTTCGCTGCTCGTACGTCATTCGCACCGGTGATAGGACTGGTCAGGCTTGCGGGACGCCTAGTCACACAGAGTCCCGCTGCTTCGCCCGTCTGAGCGATGCCTGGCGTACCGTGTTTGGCGACGAGGCTGAGCTCCCCGACTGGCTGGAGCTGCTTGGACAGAGGGTCGATATCTTTGCTCTTGACTATGATGCTATTCTCACTGCCATGTATGCATTGCCTACTAGTGTTGACCGTGCCTGTTACCTGTGCGTCCCGCCTGACCCTGGTATAGCACCTGCTGCTCCCGGTACTGGTGAGGCTGCTGCTCTAGGTGCTCGTGCGTCTCCTCCTCTGGGTGCTGGTGAGGCTGCTGCTCTAGGTGCCGGTACTTCTCCTGCTCCAGGTGCTGGCGAGTCTGCTCTCTCTGGTTCTGCGCCTGCTGCGGCCTTGTACACCTTCACGCTTGACTCAGGTGCTTCCCGCTCCTTCTTTCGCGACTGTACCACACTCACGCCGCTTAGTCGGCCGGTTCCAGTCTCCCTGGCGGACCCCTCCGGGGGTCCAGTCCTTGCCCACTACTCCACAGTTCTGCCGTGTCCGTCCGCCCCGTCTCGTTCTCTACGAACTTGGTGAGTGGAGCTGACCTCCAGGATAGGGGGGTGCACCAGTTCACTCCTGCGAGTCAGCGAGTGACTCACTGTACGTGTGCTCGGACCGGCCGACACCTGGCCACGTTTTCCCGTGCGCCTGGCTCGAGTCTGTACACCCTGACCACTGAGTCCCCTCAGGTAGCTGCGTCTGCGTCAGGTCAGCCGACGGCCCCCTGCGAGTGTCGAGCTTTGTCGCACCAGACCCTCTTGTGGCACCACCGCCTTGGTCACCCCTCGGTGCAGCGCCTTCGTGGCATGCACTCTCGCTTCCTGGTTTCTGGTCTGCCCAGGTCTTTGCCTGCCCTGCCTCCCTCGCTTGCGCCGCCCTGCATTCCTTGCGTCGAGGGGCGGCAGCGCGCCGCTCCTCACTCCTCCTCGTTCCCTCCCACAGAGGCTCCCCTGCAGACTCTCCACCTGGACGTGTGGGGCCCAGCCCGCGTCCGTGGACAGGGCCACGAGCGGTACTTCCTGCTGGTTGTTGACGACTACACGCGTTACACCACGGTCTTTCCCCTGCGCAGCAAGGGGGAGGTCCCTGCTGTTTTGATCCCTTGGATCCGCGCTGCCCGTCTCCAGCTCCGCGAGCGGTTCGGGACGGACTTTCCCGTCTTGCGTCTGCACTCTGTAAGAGGTGGTGAGTTCTCCTCAGACCTCTTGGCAGCCTTCTGTGCGGAGCACGGCATCACCCAGTCGTTCACGCTTCCGGCCTCTCCGCAGCAGAATGGGGTTGCTGAGCGCCGCATTGGCTTAGTCATGGAGGTCGCTCGTACCTCCATGATCCATGCGGCTGCCCCCCATTTTCTGTGGCCGTTTGCGGTCCGGTACGCCGCGCATCAGCTCAACCTCTGGCCCCGTGTCTCCTTGCCGAAGACCTCGCCCACGCTGCTGTGGACGGGGAAGGTTGGCGATGCGTCGCGTTTCCGGGTCTGGGGTGCTCGTGCCTTTGTCCGCGATACCACCGCGGACAAGCTCTCCGCCCGTGCTGTTCCCTGTGTCTTCCTTGGCTTTGTCCCTGACGCGCCTGGTTGGCAGTTTTACCACCCCACCTCGCGCCGTGTCTTTGCGTCTCAGGACGT